AAATAAACAAACAAAAAATAAATAAACAAAAAAAATAGGAGAATATCAGCTAAAAGACCAACTATGTCTCTAAGGAGAAGACAGGAATGGAGAAACAAGGTGCATTCTGTTGTAATGAAACACTGAGCAAAACCAGCTTGGTGAGGAAAGGGTTTATTTGGTTCTCAGGTCATAGTCAACCATTGAAAAAGGCCAAGGCAGAAGGCAGCGTCTGGAGGCAGGAACTGAAGCAGAGACCATGGAGGAATGCTGCTTACTGGCTTGCTCCAGTTGCTTTTTTATACAACCCAAGACCACCTGCCCAGAGATGGCACCGCCCACAGTGGGCTGTGCTCCCCACATCAATCATTAATCAGGAAAATGCCCCAACGTGTCTACCCGTCAATCTGATGGAGGCAGTTCCTCAATTGGCGCTCCCTCTTTCCAAGTGGCTCGAATTTGTGTCAGCTGACAAAAATCAACTAGTACACTGGGAGATTAAGCTTTTTTTTTTTTCACTTATTTTTTTTAATCCGGTGTTGGGAATTGGATCCTGGACTTTACACCCAGTAGACAAGGCCTAATTTTTTAAATAACAAGTCTTAAAGAACTTTATGATTCTTTATCCTGTGCATACATAACTTATAAAAAAATAAAACCCAGAGGGCTGGAGAGGTGGCTCAGCAGTTAAGAGCACTGACCGCTCTTCCAGAGAAGACAGATTCAAACCCAGTACCCACATGGCAGCTCAGATGTCTTTGACTTTTTTTTCAGGGGATCCGACACCCTCACACAGACATACAGGTGGGCAAAACACAACATAAAATATAAATAAAGTTTAAAAAAAAGAATGGTTTAAAAAAATAAAACCCAAATAATAAAGGTAAATTGTTCAAACAGCAGATAATGATGCAACCTATAGTTACTTCCTGTGGATCAATTCGATTCTTAGGACTAAGGTGAAATGCTCATGATTTGTTTCCTCTCTCAGGAAGGATGCAATCTTGTTAACTGATGCTTTTGACTTGACGGATAATTGTTTAAATTCGGCACTGGGCTGTTATGATGGACATGTCTACGAACGTCTGTTTGAGTGGGCTCAGAAGTTACCAGCCAATAATCAGGTAGTTGAGTGGAATTCATTATAAATTATGTAAAAGGGCAGAGAACAAGCAGTAAATACATCTCCATGTTTTCCCATTTTAATCAGTTCTGCTTACGCTGAAAATTACTTGGCATAGAGCATCTGTTTAAAACACTTCTAGAGAGCACATAAAAGAAACCAGGGGTGCAGTTTGGCAGGAACTGAAATAAGCAAAATACACAGTTCAGAATGTGGAAAGGGCATTAAGAGAAAGGCTTGACATACCCGAAGGCACACACATACAGTAGCAAGCAAATCTAAGATAAATCATAGCAGTGGTAAACCATCTTACTTTTGGCTTTTTAGCTCCATGCTATGTAGATCCAGAGGTGATTTGAGGTACTGTCTTAGGTGGGCAGGAAGGCACATATATTATAAAGGGGATGATAGCAAGACTGTCCTCAGAGGGAAGACGAGAATTCCAGTTATCCCAGCCTCACTGGGCAAAGGTAAGAATTCAAAGTACTGTACTTTGAATTTAGGGAGCCTGTAGTAAAGAGCAGATTTGACAAGGACAACCCCAACAAAGGACGCATCTATCTATAGGCACACACAAGGTGTTTCACAGTGTTGGGTATATTAGACTTTATAAACATGTTTTTCAGATGGTGAAACTTTCTCTTTCGTCCACCTTCAGGAAGGCATCTTACAATGCAGTGACCGACACTTGGGCTTGCTCACACTTTACAGGTGTTATTAGACTTGCTCTTGGCAGTATGTATCCTGTCACACATCAGAGCTGAGCTTCCCACGATCATCTAAAGTCATAACCTCCAGAATGGCTGCCAGACAGGTCAGCCCACTTCAGTCAAGAGCCATCCACAAGATGACCTGGTTTTAGCTCAAGGAAATATAAACAGTCTTCCTAGTCACTGCTCCTATGGTTAACCTGCTTCTAATATGTTACTCATCTAATGATCATTTCTCTGTCCTTGCTCGTGTTTAAATCCTGGTACAAAAGCAAAGCAATCCTTCCCAATCCAGCCTGCTTCCATGGTCTCGAGAGAGACCTGCGTCCTTTGGTGCTCCATAGAGCTGCCGCACCTCTCCCTGTGCACCTGTCGGCAAATGCCGAGACACAAAATATTCCACTCCCCTAGATTCCTCAGGGTCACTGAAGACTGTAGTGGGCCATCTTATCTTTCTTCATTCTTAAACACTTTAATCTGGAAACCATAGCAGGTTTGTAGAAACGAGACGTGACTGACCCCTCATCTCACTGATTCTGTAAAATGCTGACATACTTCAAACTGTTCTTCTGTCTCTACTTCCTTCTACTTGACCAAGGATAGAGCTTCCTATGACCTACATAACGATACGAAAGCAGTCACGACAGATACTCATCAACCGGCCTTATGTGACCTTGTTAAGTCACAGGTGTGGTCTTTTCACACAGGGAAGTTTAGGAAAGGGGGTCAAAACGATAGTTGGTGGACCGGTAACATACAGCCATGTGATCTTATACTTTCAGCTCCTTTGAAAAGCTTCAACATTTTTAAAGTCTCTCCCTTTTTTTTTTTTTTTTTTTGATCTGTAATAGTTCTGAAGTGCAGCAGACATTTTAATAGAAAAAGGCACATTGCGGGTATTTTAAATAAGTTAAAACAGCAGCTATACTGAAACATGCCCTGCGGACACAAAAGTACAAATGAGAATATATGTCCAGTGTTCTCATGCCAGAAGTAAAGTGCTATGTGGTAGGCTGCACCTCTTAGCTCCACAGGAGTCTCTCCTGTCTGCAGCAGGTTGTGCTGAGATTTCTCCTATCAGGATGACACGCTACCCTGGTGTACTCTGTGATGTCTGCTTTGGGCTGACTGATCTAGAAAACTGCCACAGAAGATCCCCCCAGCCCCACGAAATCACATCCAAGCCATTCCCAATGGAAGCAAGAAGGAATCATCACGGGTTAATTTAGACCAGGAACCCCCCTTTTTAGTGCTTGTCTCAGGGCCTTTTGTGGCCAGGCTGGCCTTCAACTCCTACCTCCCAAATGCCATTTGTACATCATCGCACCCCGTTCTAGTCTCTCAATAACTATATTGTAAAGATATGCCCAAGGAATAGTTCATTCATTCAAAGAACAATTACTGTGCAATGGCGGTGTGCTGAGATTGGAGAAACAGTGAAGAACAGGGTGTAAACCTATGTTAGGACCTTATAGGCTTTTTTTGCTTAAGATTTATTTATTATGTATACAGTATTCTGCATGTAGGACTGCATGACAAAAGAAGGCACCGGATCTCATTATAGATGGTTATGAGCCCGCATGTGGTTGCTGGAAATTAAACTTAGCATCTCTGGAAGAACAGCCAGTGCTCTTGACCTCTAAGCCATCTCTCCAGTCCCCAGAACTTTATAGTTTTACTGTAAAAGAAATTAAAATAGTATGGAAGACTAGAGTTTAGCTATAAAGAAAAGAACTCAGACATGGCACTAGAGAATGATAGAAAAGCTGATTTGGACACAGAATATTGCCTACCTGATTCTACTTTCTGGTTGCTTGCTTTGTGGTTTGTGTTCAAAATTTCAAAGAGTCTCAAAAAGTGAAGGATTTCATTTGTATTAAATTCTGAAAAAAATAAATAAGCTGTACACTTTTCTCTTAATCAGCCACCTGCATGCAGTTTAAAATCTGCCTAAGACAGGAGGCTTGTTGGAAAAGTGTTTACCATATGTTCACACAAAATGAACTTTAAAAGTAATTTTAAAAATTAAGAATCTTAGGTAACTGAAAGGTGGTGGTGGCACATGCCTGTAATCCCACCACTTGGGAGGCAGAAACAGGCAGATTTCTGTAAATTCAAGACCATCTTGGTTTACAAATTACAAAGAGTTCCAGGACAGCCAAAGCTGTTCTACAGGGAAACCCTGTCTCGAAAAACAAAACAAAACAGGATCTTAGGCAATGCTACTCTTTTTTTTTTTTTTTTTTTTTTTTTTTTTTTTTTTGGTTTTTCGAGACAGGGTTTCTCTGTGGTTTTGGAGCCTGTCCTGGAACTAGCTCTTGTAGACCAGGCTGGTCTCGAACTCACAGAGATCCGCCTGCCTCTGCCTCCCAAGTGCTGGGATTAAAGGCGTGCGCCACCACCGCCCGGCCAATGCTACTCTTTTAAAGTGAAGAATAATTCTAGAAGTATTCTAATAATGTGATTCCTATAAACACAGAAAAACCCTGCCTATGAGAAATATATCCGACCACTGCTACAAAGCTGGAGACCCAAGCTGTGAAAAGCCAACAGTACTCAGGATCAAGAAGCATCATGGTGGCACAGCATATACAGACCAAGAATTAAAGTCAAAGCAAAGGGTGGAGTGACTAGTTCTTCAAATTGCTTAGTAAGTTGGTACGTGAATGAAATGCTCATCACTTTATTCTGCTTTTGGAGTTTCCCTTTGTCCGTTTATAGCATATATTTGGTTAAATGCTGGAACTTTGCTTTAAATGTAGCAAAAGCCAATAAACACATTAGCTGCTACTTGTGTGGTGTATTTATCTAGGGTATACCGGGATCGACCAGTCTGAGGGATGTCAGCAGGCATTCTACCACGGAGCTACCTCGTGGTCCACAACTTACCTTTAGCATTTACCCTCAGGTTTACAAAGACACACATGCAGCCCTTTAAAGGTACTTGGATGTGCTATAATCTAAATAAAATATAAAGGCTCAGAATGTAACATATCATTTTTTAAAAGTAAAAATGATTTAAAATTTTATAAAGAGACAGAATTGTCTCAGTATATCCAAATATAACCAAACTACATTTTTCTTTTTTTTGAATGATTTATTTATTATGTATACAAATTCTGTCCATATGTATGCTTGCAGGCCAGAAGAGAGCACCAGATCTCATTATAGATGGTTGTGAGCCACCATGTGGTTGCTGGGAATTGAACCCATAACCTCTGGAAGAGCAGTCAGTGCTCTTAACCTCTGAGCCATCTCTCTGGCCCCCCAAATGATGTTTTTCATTTCATTTTCAACTCCACAACAACATAAAACAGTTACAGCATGGACTGCAGCTAAGTGACAAGCACTTACCTAACATGAATAATACCCAGGTCAATCCCCAGGAGTGAGGGAAGAAAACAAACAAGCCTTAAAAATCCTGCTGGCTGCTTTTATTTAAATAAGCAATCATTTACCTACTAATAATTAGTAAACCAGAGAAAATTTGCCAAAAGCAATCTTCCCTTTAGGGAGAATGGGGACAAGGAAGAAAATTCAGAAGTTTTCCTTTTTCCTAAACTTAAAACTAGTATTACTCCTACTTTCACAACTTTTATGTATGTATATATATATATATGTGTATATATATAATTATATATATATAATTTTATATATAATATATATTTTAAGTGTAAGTGTGTGTGTGTGTGTGTGTGTGTGTGTGTGTGTGTAAACCAGTGGTGTCAGATCTGCCTAGAGCTGGCGTTACAGGCAGTTGTGAGCTGGTGACATAGGTGTTGGGCACCAAATTCCTATACAAGAGCAACAAGTACTCTTAACTAAGAGCCCTCCACAAGAGTTCTGAACCCAAATCATCTTACTTCATGTTGGCTTCAGCTAGCTCCATAGCACAGGACTGATCTGGGTCTTTATTAGGAAACTACAGATCAATTTACAACAGAAGCCAACAGTAGCCTCTTCTCACCTGTCCATCAATACAATGAAACTACAGAAACCTGTCAATAATATTGAAGAATCCTTGTTTGAAGATGAGATAATTATGGGTTTCGTGTGTGTGTGTGTGTGTGTGTGTGTGTGTGATTTGTCAAATCTTAAATTTTCAAAGAGATATATAAGTAAATATTTTAATCTTCCTTTCAAAGGGAGAATCTCTTCTCAGAGAAGAGGAAAAGAGTGTTTCGTCTGCCATAGGGCCAACACCAAAGAAGTCCACTGTTCCCTTAAAGCAGGGACATTTTTATCCGATGTTCACAAACTAGAAAGTCTCACTGTAATTAACACACTCCTTCCTATGAGAAACTTTCAAGCAACAGACTCCTATCAACTCTGAAACAAGACAACAATGAAATAAGCAAATGTACATACATTTTCTCTTATTTCCGATCCTTCACTGCAACTTATTCTTCTCAGAGTTGAACTTACATCTGACAAAAACATACATTTGTGGCTACCACAATACATAAGAATAAGATGGCTAGAGTCATTTTGTCCCCCACATGCAGCAGAAGCTGGAGTGAGTCCTAGTCATAGCTGTGGCTGTTGAAAACCCTGTAATATTCCCTGAAAATCCTATCTGAACATGGCTTTGCACTCTTTAGACAAAACTGCTTATCTCTGATGGCACAGCTGGCTTTCTGAACTAAAATCTAAGGTTCCACTGAGTTCTGGCAACTCCATTACAAATGTGCTATAAGCAGTTTGAGACACAAGCAATGCATACTTCTGACAGAGAATATGACTTTCCCCTTATATAGCAATAAATACAACCCTTAATGTTCATACTCCATTTTTTATTAGATTTTGCTTTCCTGGTCGACAGTACACTTGGGAATGAAACTGTACCAGGCATAAGGTTTCTACCACAGGGATATTTTGTATTGAGAATCCAATATAAATATTTCTAGTCAGACATTTCAATGGCTACAGATATTTGGTTGCTTGATTTATATGCATAGAAAGAAACAGTCCTTACAAGGATCAGCAGGTGATTGGCCAGTCTTCCTTTAATACACTACTGCCTATTGGTCTGGAATCGAGGTCACCCTACATGATATTCTCATTTTCCTCAAAGACATGAATACTCTGCTTAATCTTTCATTACTGTATTTTTAGCCTTCCAGTTGAGTTAGGGACCACGTTACCAGAAATCATTTTAGCACTGTTAAGGGTAGATTATATATCATAATGATTTTCAAGCTCTCTTTTTATAAAAAAGGTTTCTGGAGACTCTGAACAGGCACATGCATATTTGGAACAAAACAAGAAGGCTGCTCACACACGGAACTTCCTTCTGGTCCTCGAGGCCTTCAAATAAATACAAATATTAAAAAGGGGGTACACTATGATTTAGAAAACAAGAACAGTCTCTTTCATGTCCCCAGACAAACGTGAGCTTACAGGAAGTCCTCCCCAGCACTGGCGATCAGTCATCTGTTTTCCGGGCCAGTCTACAGAAAGTCCAGTTGTGCTCTACTGTGTTCTCGTTGGCCCGCTCGCTCATGTGATGCACCCGAGTATTGCGGATTGTGAAACCTTGCTTTGTAATGTATTCCATCAGGTGGACCCGGAGAGAAACTTCCTGGTGATAATCGCATGGTCCAAAGGTGAAGGAAACCTGGCAGTCTCTGGTGTCCATCATGTGCTTATTCCACTTGGTGAAATAATTTGAGATGCCTTCTAGTAGGGAATGCACCTTGGTGGTGATGGTTAACTGGGTTATGATGACGGCCACAGGATTGGAATATTTAGAAAGCTTCCGAGTACTAGACAGCTCTACAACTTCTTCAAAAGTATCCATAGGATACAAAGGCTTAGGGTCATTGAGACACTGAATCAAGGGTTCAATCTGGTAAAAGTCAGCTTCTTTCCGAAGAAGATCAAATTCCTTAAAATCCAGAGGGAGGGTCAATTCTGAAGTTCGTAAGAAGTTGAGGACATAGCGGAAAAGAGGTCCATCTCGATCGATGAAGTAATTGCCTTGCGGGTCTCGGGCTGTGGGGAAGTCCCCCCCAAACATAGCTCCAAGCATGGAATCCGGGTAACGTGTCAGTGTGGTAAGGGACGTTGTGTACAAGTGTCCACCTACATTCAACGTGACTGGGTCAGTCATCTGAAATCAAAGAAACAGTCACCTGAAACCATAAAATCACAACTTCGACAAATTAACAAGATCAATACCAATCAGCCAGTATAAGACCCCTTTCTGCTGTAATGTATTTGGCAGTGTTAGGGAGGAAATGGTCTTACTTTCAATAATAACTCACCAGGAGAAGGCCTTCAACATTTTCTTTCAAATCAAATAAATCCAATCTTTTAAGAGTTACTCTACTCCTGCTGGGAGTGACCTTTAGTGTCATACAGTCAAGTCCAGAATCTCAAGAGTTTCTGAGTCAGGTCTGCCTGCCTCTACCTCCCCTAGTGGGATTAAAAATGTGTGCCACCTCACTTGACAAGACCTTCAGCTTTTTTAAATTTACCAGAAGCTAGAATAAAAGTAATCTGAGAGTGTAGCAATAATGAACTTTGGGATTTTGTCCTCAAAGGAGTCATGAGGTGTAATTTTTTTTTTGAGACTAAGTTTCACATAACTTCGACTGGCTTCATATTCACTGTGTAGCTATGAATGGTCTAGAATTCCTGATCCTCCTGCCTCTCCCCAGTGCTAAGATCTCAGGAGTCCATCATCACACCCAGTTGTGAAATGTATGAATGTACTTATGTGAGTGCTTTGACTGCATGTATGTATGTGTGCCTCATGTAAGCCAAGGGTATGGATTGCCTAGGGACTGCAGTTACAGGCGATTGTGACTCTTAGGCTGGATGCTAGGAACCAAACCCAGGTCCTCTGCACGAGCAGAAGTGCTCTTAACTGCTGAGCCATCTCTCCAACTCCAAAATGTATCCTCCCTCTGCCCCCGCCCCCGAGAAAGGGTTTTTCTGTGTAACAGTCCTGGTTGTCCTTGAACTCAGTCTGTAGACCAGGCTGGCCTCAAACTCACAGAGCGGCCTTTGCCTCCCAAGTGGTGGGACTAAAGGTGTGTGCCACCATCCCCCAGTCCCAACGTGTATCTTAAAGACAAAAATTTATTTAGAATTAATCTTAGTAATTTTTTTTATGGAAGCAACAATTCCCTTTTCTTTTCTGGTTTTTCTTTTTATTGTTGTTGAGACAGCATCTTACTACATAGACAAAGCAAGTCAAAAATGCACAAACCTTCTGCATCTACCTCCCAAGTGTTGTTGACATTACAGGCCTGCACCACCATGCCCAGGAAATAAGTTCCTAACACTAAACTAAGAAATAGAAGGTTTGTGGACACAATCTAGCCTATGTTCTAGCCCCAAACTACCACATACCTAAGGGCTAATAGCAGCTTCAAATGTCATAGTCTGATTGTATATTCACTTTAGTAACATTAATGCTGCAATCTGACCTTTAATTCTGAGAAGGAAGTTTCTCAAAATAACACACCCCAGCCTTAGAAATCCTATTTAAGAAAAAAAAAAATCAAAGACGGTCTTCAGGTTCTAAGAAAGCAAAGTATTTCTTACCTGATGAGGAAGAAAACAGGCAAACATGGACACATGTGAAAACTGCATGTGAGAAGAAAATCCTTCTACCTATTAATTCCTTTACTACAACAAAGCATCCTCCACTCCATTCTCCCCGGGCCCTTTGGACATTCCATTCTATGAACAGAGAATTTAAACATACGCCATAGACCAAAACATCATGGTCTACCTGACGTTCGTGGTTATAAATAGCTACTAGGTGGGCAGAGAGATGTCAGGAGTTAAAAGCAATGTATGACTGTAGTGGAACTGAGTTCCACTTCCAGTAACCATGTCTGGGTGGCCCACAGCATCTCCAGGGACCATATGCCCGCCCTCTTCTGGCCTCCAAGAACACTGCACTCACCGCTTCACCCACACATAATTAAAATAAATAATATGCAATAAAAATGTTAAGTTATTTGGAGAATATGCACTGAGTCTTCCACTAAAACGTCAAACCAAATAAAGATCCACACTCCAAATACATCCACACAAAGTAGATGGAGCTGCACAAATTCATAGTTTCATCCTTGTACGATAAGCCTATGACGGTGCAGAGAAAGGCGTCCAAATGGCTTGCCAGCCTTCCAAGCGCAGCAAGGACTACTCACCATATATCCCCAGTCTCCATTATCCATCTGCTCCAGCACGGGTCCGTCAGGAGCCCAGGAACCAGGAAGACTCTAGAGGAAGAAAACAAGCAGGTAACCATGACAATGGAGAATAAGAGCTATTCTGCCCAATGCAGTAGCTCAGACCTCACAAGGACCGCTCACACACGGCCCGTTGGAACCTACATCAGGGCGAAATTGTGAGGAAGAAAGCCATGCCATGCTTGTCCTTACCTCTGGAGCCCACTGGGCACAAAGGACTAGCCTACTTGGAGAAGGAGGAAAGAGTCTGTCACTCTGGGCTGGCAAGACAACCCAGTAGGTAAAGCAGCTTACCTGAAAACCTGACTTTGATCCCAGGACCCTCATGGTGGAAAGAGAAAAAAACTTACTTCCACAAGTTGCCCTCTGACCTTTGTCCTCTGACCTCCATATACACAGTCACAACCACAAGTAATAAAACAAAAAACTGACCAATTCTGCCACTATTTTCTAAAAATGTAATATTTAGATTTTCAGAGAACATTATGATTAGGTCTACAACCTTACATTGATTCTGACCTACAAGATGCTCTACATCAAAAAGGTCACTTGAGGGGGAAAGGGGAAATTCCTTTGGATCAGCATACCAGCTGTATAAACTAAGCATCTGAGAAAGCATTTAAAATCATGGGCTTCAAAAGTAATGGTCACTTTCCAAGAGAAAAAAAAACAGAATATTATTACCTTATAGTGTAAAAAACCAATCAGGTTTAATAATGAAGTATTTCTCTTTGTACATTAATCAAAACAAACAGAAGCAATTCAAACTGGTAAGGCACAATTTGGTACAAAAAGAGCCTCACAGACCTGGCTGAGGTCACTCAGGCAGCACCATGGAGAGCCAGTCTTAGGTCACTGGCAAAGGCCCATGTACTAATAAAGCCAGCTTCAATCTGCTTTTTCCTCCTATTCAAGAGCATGCCACAGTTCTCCTGCGACTTAACTGCCTTAGTCAGTTCCCTCTCACTCACTCTGTTCTCCAAATCAACCTGCAAAGCAAACTGCAGAGCCAATTTCAAAATCACTAGCAGAGATGCCAAGAAACACGGACATACCTACGGGTCCTTTCCCTGGGAAAAGCACCAGCTTTGTATGTGGCCTTTGAAGGCCCATTTTTCCACTTTTAGTGGAATCTGGTCCCCATTTCCAGGACAAGAACAAGCCCTGGCTACAAAAGATCACAAAGGCTCTTTCTCAAAAGGTCACTCAGGCAAGTCGAGAGCATTTGCATAGCACAGCAGGGGCTGAAATCAGAGCCGGCAGCAGCTATTTCTCTACCTTTACAAATTCTTCAAAGCAAACAAGCTAAAATGTGGACCCGAGGAGACACAGGCGGCTGTCATTCTTTACTCTCAGCCATAGGGTACAGACGGTCAGCCTTTCAGCGTACTATAGAGAGATGGAACAAAAGTAACACCAGAGGCCTTTTACCTTTTCTCTCTGACTCACTCCACAAACCCCATCTGATGTGAACGGAAGACATGAGCTTTAGCAATTTTTGGCTTCATTACCGATAACAACAAATCCATGATGCAGTGAGTTAAAGGGCATTTCCCAAAACTCAAAGTACTCTTTCCCCACGGCCTCAATAATCACTCAACCAAACTTATTTTAGGTCCAGTATCACAGGGCAGGGGAGCCCACGTGAAATACGGATACACAGGAATACGATAGTGAACCCTGACCTCGTGGAGCTTTCAGTCCACAAAGGGAGGCAACGCACAACAGCTGAAGTCACAATATAATCCCAGCCTGCCATTAACAGAACAGACTGAAGGAGACCTCAGGAGGAAGAGACCTAGACTCCAACTGGAAAAATGTCGGGCTTCAGAGAAGGGCTCCTCGGTGAACACCGGAAGACAATGTGCCCAACCTGAGCAGGGATTCCGGAATCAAGCCAATGTAGCAGTCTTTCTGCTCGTGAGCACACCCCTGTTCAGTTATACAATAAAGAGGCAAGGACGCCTGGACAAGAACTTGTGTTTTCTGACTCCTGGTCAAGATTTTTCCAAAAGCACCTCCTAGAGTAGAAATTCAAAGAACAAAATCCAAACAACAAACTGAAAAGCATCAACTTTATACTCCCCATAGCCAGCTATTAACCCCATCCAACTGGCGCTTTATTCACAACCTCACAAAAACTTAGGCTAATTAACTAGTCATAATGAGTCATAAAAAAATTTCTACCACTAAATAAAAATGGCAAGACCCTGCTCATTGGTGACTAATGGCTGCTGTCCCATCTCAGGCGACAGGAAGAATTCCAGTTCGTGAACATTCAAATGGCTAATGAAGAATGGAAACCCAAAGCCGGAAGAAAATCATCAGACAGCAATGCCACCGCTATATCCAGGACTAACCTTGCATATTTATGTCTTCACTTCTACATCAAAACAAGATAACTTCTTGTGCAAACATTAAAACAAACAAGCAAAAAAAAATTAGACGTTTCGAATCTCTTCCACAGCAAAAGTCAAGGTCTGGCTACAAACATATAACGAACCTCAAGCTTAATAATTTAGAGAAGCAGTCTTGGGAACCTATGTCCCTTCCTTCCTTCCTCCCTCCCTCCCTCCATCCATCCCTTCCTTCTTCCCTCTCTCCCTCCCTCCCTTCCTCCCTCCCTCTCTCCCTCCTCCCTTCCTGCCTCCCTCCCTCCCCTTGTATGTGGGAGTTAGAGGCTGGGCCCCTCATGCCATGATGTGTGCCTTTACTAAGGAGCTAGCTCCGTGATCTAAGCCCAGGTCTCTTAAAAAGCACCGCAAGGCCTTATACTTGTATGTAAGATACACGAAAATAAAATGAGACACAGTCACTACTAGTCACTTCCAATATAACTAAGCTACCTAAAAAACAGTAATAATAAATTGTTCACTAATAAACTCAAAGATCAATAAAAGGCAATCTTGATTCACCTAAAGTTGATCTCCACACCTTGCTTGTAAACACCTGCTACAGCATAGCATCTCTACAAAAATCTAGAGAAACAGGGAGGGGCAAGATTCTTGCTTCTCCAACAGTCACATTCTGAACTGATGACTATCAGGGACATCTCAGACGTGGACGCAATAAAACACAACCCAAGACCTCACAGAACAGCTTCGGTCTCTTCCAATGAACCCTTTCCCAGGGGTGCTAACAATTCATTTCCTTTTCATCTTCTCTCCCATCCGGCACCATCCAGTGGAGGACTTAATGAGAAGTTTAAATAACCACAAGCCAGGCAACAGAAGGCCTTCAAGTGGGGCATCAAACAGGCCTGTTTTACTTGAGGGGTAAATAAAAAAATACTTTTTTCATAAAATCTGTGAGACATTTCTCATAAAATTCCTTTAAAGGTATTTCCCTTGCTAAAGATCATTTTTAGGGCAGTGACCACAACCAAACAATAACCATAGAGTTCAAAGAAAGGCTTTCTGATTTTGCAAAATCAGTTCACCTGAAAATATCTGACCTTTAATACAAATAAATCCACATCCCAAAGACTCTAAGGCAACGCTGAGGTCCCATGCTTAGGCTTCAAAGGTTATAACTAGTGTGGAACTCTGACGGCAGGCTAGCAGGGAGTTGCGAAAAACAAATCCTGAAGAATTCCTAGAAGCCTGAAAGAAATTATGAACTTACTGACCTAGCGAATCCGAAGAATGCGCAATTCAGTAAGCTAACAACTTAAAAGCATGTGAGAACCCTCAGTGGTATCCTTCTTATCATAGCAAAGCAGCTTTAGGGGCTACAAAACATTAACACAATATTCTAGACTTACTGCTGATTGAGACACCCCCAGAGCAAAAGTCCTTCTCCCATGCAACAGTCTATATGCTGTAATGGAAACCTCCAAATTTGAAGGAGTAATGAATGAGACAACTGCAATCACTTCCTTCCCAGGGGTTCTGGGTAGCCTTTTTTTTTTTTTCCTACTGAGACCCTTGTGCCTGCTATCCCAAAAAGAAGACTCAGTGAATTTTCTCCACCTATACTTACCTTCCAAATTGCCTTTGTACTCACTTTCTCTGTTCTGGGAAACGTGGGAGTTTGAAAGTGAAATACTTTTTATAGCACTTGGTTCAGTGGCATCTAAAGGAGTCGTCTGAGTTAAAGTCCACATGCAGGCCAGCACAAGCCGCCAGGCACACAAGGGTAATGGGATTATAAAGCTAAATTACCGACAACTAAACCAGAGATGGATTTTTTTTCCTCTTCTCCCCCTCTCTCAACCATGTGAGCTAGAAGAAAGGAGATGAAGGCAGAAAAGTAGAAAGACTTTTACAAGAAGTTAGGAAATTTCTAAAGTATCAAATCAGAAGCATACACACTCTCCAGCGAAATTGTTGTCAGAGTCAAATTAAAAACAAACAAACAAACATGAAATTCCACTTCCCCTCAGTTTCCACTAAAATGGGCTATTATGGCCTTCGCAAAAGTAAACACAGCATAGGTAAAACGGGCTGACGGGCAGTGAAAAGGAACGGAGTTCTGAAGTCACTGTGCGGCCTTCCAGCAGAGAGTAAGAACATGATAAATGGCTCTTTACTCCTGGAAGCATCAACAAAATTTGAGAGGTAAAGTCGGGCACAGTGGGCAAACATAGAGGTGAAAGGCAGCCTGTGCTCTTCCCAGGAGTTTCCACAGCGACTAAAATAGGAAGTGCTAAACGTAAAGATGTCCCAGCACTGACAGACAGAACAGACACGTGGGCTCTCGGAACTTCTAGAAAGCATGACTCAGGGTTGTCTCCAAGATAAAGCAGAACACAAATATATGTGTTCCATTTAAAATAGACCCCAGCTATAAAAATCCAAGACACATCAAAAGATACATTCGAATGACCATAAGATTGCTTTATGTGATAGTGTTTCCGCTCAAATATGCTTTAAGAGAATTCGAACCACAAACCTTATTGATGCCATCATCTGTGGCTTTCTTTCAATCTAAGGCATCACAACTAAAAAACCATGCTGGCACCTGGTTTTCAAGGGCTATTCTCCCAGCCTACCTACCTGCCCACCTGGACCTGTGCTCTTTTGAAAACACTTCTCGGTATCAGGCCTGTGATACCGCAACATTATTCCCATACTAGAATAGAGAAAAAGATGAGCCAGCCAAGGAGATACGCTGGAGACAGATGCTTGGGATATCCCAAACATTCTCAGCCAAGCCACATCACCCAAGGTCTACTTGTGAGGCAAACACCTTGCATCACCGAAAACTACAACTGGGTTTATCAACTTGCTGTGTGAACTGCTGTACTGGACAGAAACGTGACAACTTCAGCAGAATATCCAAACAGGATCTCAGTCACGTTTCGTTTCTCCGTCCCACCCCAGACACAGCCTCCTCTGCCACAGCCCAGCAGGTGCTGCAGGGGCTCCTCACGACCACACCATGGGTCACCTTTGACACCCAGCACTAAAACGCCCTGACATCCCAAAACCCCAGCAGAAAGCTGCAATCTGTGCAGAAAACCCCAAAGGCAAGGCTTTAAAACTAGGACAGTGGCGGCCAATAAGCGCCACTCCCCAAAGAACAATCCTTTCCCCGCAGAACCCGCGGGTCCCGGACCGGGCCGCACTCCTCGGTCGCCCGCAAGCCAAGCCCGGCCGGCCACGCGCACCGAGCCCCGAACCCGAGCCGGAGCCCGCGGCGCCGGGCCGCGCGTCCCCGGAGTCCCCCGCCCAGGCCCGGCCGCGGGCTCGTGCCAGCCCCGGGACGCGCGCCCGCCACCCGCCGTCCGCCTCAGCCCGACTTCCCCGCAGCCCCGGCCCCACAGGCCCGGCTCCCGCCCCACTCACTGCGCGAGCGCAACGGCGACCCGGCCGGGAGACGCCGGCGGCCCGAGAGCGCGAGCGCGGGGACGAGCGAGCCTGCGCCCGGCGGCGGCGGCGGCAGCAGCAGCAGCAACAGCAGCAGCAGCGGCGGGGACGACTGAGCCGGCGCCCGGAGTTGCGGCTCCAGCTGCCCGGCGCGGGCGGCGCCTTCTCAGCGGAGTCGCGGCGCCGAGAGCGCGGACGCCCCCTATCGGCGGCGCTGGGCGGAGGCCGGGCGGGCGCGGACGGGCGCTCGCTCTGGGCGCTGCCGGGTCGGCGTTGTCAGGCGGGCTCTGCAGCAGTCCCGAAGTCCCGCCTCTGGCCCGCCCAAGCCCCGCCCTTCCAAGGAGCTCCGCTCAGATCACGCCCCAACTCCGCCCCCGCCCCAGGCTGTGCTCCTCCCGGCCGCCGGCGGTTCCTTCCGTGCGGGCCACAGCCATCGTAGGTCTCTAATGCTGTTTCTCCTCCGCTGTTTCCCCTGAGAGTTGATAGAACTCATCGAATGCCGGGTTTGGGGAGGACAGCAGCCTCCCAGACTCAAGAAAGCAGCCAATAGACAACATAAGACAAGTTCGAATCCTGTTGGGAGGGGCCCGATTAGAAGGCTGCGGTGAAGAATTAGGGAAGAGGGGCTCCTGCTTTTCAGATGTGAGGCTCGAAATGGCCAGAGCCCCTCCTGGCCTTAAAAGGTAGGCATACCATTCTGTAAATTAATGGCTGTGAAGGACCACCTATTCGGTCTTTAGGGATGGAAGCGAAGAACTGCCAGGTATAAGGGGAGAGCTAACATCATCCTGTGCAAAGCCTCTGAGGAGGTTTGACCTGGATGGTGCTGGCAAGGATACTGTCCCTCACTTCAAGAGGGAGGCCAAGGCTGCAGAACTAATTGGACTTCGTGCAAAGACGAGTTCCAAAAGCCATTCATTTCTAGCTAGCTGGATCGGATCGCGGTCCACTTCTACACGGGTGAAAAACCACTGGTCTTAGAAACTCCTTTAATCCCAGCACTCAAAGGCAGAGGCAAGCAGGTCTCTTGTGAGTTCTAAATTAGCCTGGCCTACATAGAAAACTCCAGGCCAGCCAGCCTACAGAATGAAACTTTGACTAAAAAAAAAAAAACAAACAAACAAAAGAAATGAGACTCACCTGGTTTACACATCCACATGTTGGTTAGATGGTTCTGGAATCTAGTTTTTATGAATATGATTATCAGGGTCATATCTAATATTTGATTTTTCTTCAAAAATCTAGTTGATAGGTATAAGTAACATGGGCTTCAACCTAATGAAGGGTTATGCTGACATGTTCACTAAGGGAAAATAGAGACAAAGTAAGGACACAGGGAAATGCTTCTGCACATACACAAAATACTGTATGCAGCATCCTAGTGTTGATTTTCATTATTTGTTTCGGGGGGTTGGTTTGGTTTGGTTTTGATTTTCTGGAGACAAGGTTTCTCTGTGTAGCCCTGGCTATCCTAGAATGCACTCTGTAATGACTGACTTCAAGAGATCCGCTTGCCTCTACCTCGAGAGTGCTGGGATTAAAGGTCTGCACTACCAACACCTGGGGAATGTTAATTTTTTTTAATGACAAAATTTTGAAGGATAAATCATTGAACATAATGTTCCAAGGTAATAGACTAAGAATGTCCGTGATCTGTGACTTACTCTTTTCTTTTTAAAGATTTTCTCAAAAATTTTATGTGTGCAGGTGTTTTGCTTGCCTCCGAAGCTTTATACAAGATGATGTTAGCTCTACCCTTCTAATTGGCTGTTCTTCACTTCCCGAAAGGCCGGATAGGTGGTCCCTCAAAGTCATTAATTTACAGAATGGCCTGCCTAACGTATAAGGCCAGAAGGGGCTCTGACTATAGATAGATAGATCCTCATATAGAGGGATTGCTACCTGTGTGCAGTGCTCATGGAGGCCAGAAAAGGGAGTTGCATCCCTTGGGATTGGCCTTATAGATTGTGGTTAGCTACTATGTGTGTGTTAGGAATAGAACCCTGGGCCTCTGGAAGACCAGCCAGTGCTCTTAACTGTTGAGCCACCTCCCCAGTCCCTGTTTATTACTTCTTAATGTTCTTCTGAATTTTATTTATTTTCTAGAATATGTAGATATTGTATTTATAGTCAGAAAAAAAAATACAAGGAGTATGGATGCTTGTCTTTGAGGTACTAAGGATTGAAGTCAGGACCATACAAACTAAACAAACCTCTATGTGCTAAACTACACCACCAGTCCAACAATATACGAAAGAAAGAAAGAAAGAAAGAAAGAACGAAAGAAAGAGCGAGCTGGGCAGTGCTTCCACACGCCTTTAATCTCAGCACTTGGGAGGCAGAGGCAAGTGGATCTCAGTGAGTTTGAGGCCATCCTGGTCTACAAAGTAAATTCCAGGACAGCCAGGATTGTTACACAGAGAAACCCCATCTCTAAAAAAAATAAAATAAAATAACCATAGAGTCCAAAAGCAGTGACAATTCACAGCCCCTGTCTGGCCTTTATCTAATTGTTTCCTTTTTCTGATTAAATTCACGAACGTTGAGCTGAGTACCACTGGTGATAATAGGCATCATTATGTTGTTCTTTGGCTTCTAATGTGCCACTAAGTTTGGGGTTGGCTATCAATTCTAACAGAGAAATCTTCGTAGAGTTAGGAAGCGTCAGCTTTATTGTGAATGGGTGCCAAGAGAATGAGTTCCAGTCTTGAATTGTTAAACCATCCATGCATTCTTGACGACATATTATTTTTTCACTATACTGCTGGATTTTGTTGGGTAATGTTTTGTTAGGACTTTCTTTTTTTGGATCTGGATGGCCTCTAACTCACCTGCCTCTGCATCCCAGGTGCTGGGATTAAAGGGGTGAACCACTACCGCTTGGCTAACTTGAGACTCTTAAACTAAGAAATGGCTATGTGTATCTGAACAACTTCTCTAGGACTAGGGGTTTCTGTAGTTTAGTTCTCCTGTAAGTCCCATCCAGAGTGCTTGGTTAGGGGCTGAGAATGGATGGTTACCCCGGAACTAGTGTGGACAGTTCAGGGTTGCCAGCCTATAAGGGGAACACCCACTCCTGGCTGGCACATCCCCACCCATACGCCCACACTCTCTCCAGTGATTCCTAGGACTCTACTTTCCAGGTAACCTCTAGGTTATGTTGAAGAGAGTCTGGATGGTCTTGTCTGCACCATGGCTGGGCTAGCCTGGAAGAGGCCACTACTGTGGCAGCTACAAATGCAACAGGAGGGAATCAGACCAACAGGCTGTAAGAAGATATGTGGGGAAAGAAAGTCACAGCTAACAAACCTGACTAATGGGGTTCAGCCTCCTGTTCTGAGTTATCCCTTACCCCACTGTGGCTTGCTTGACCTCAGGTCCCACATGTCAAAGAATGTTGCATCTTCAGTGGAGCACTCGGGATCCCTCCTCTACCTGCTCTGGATTGATTTGCCTGCCTTTCACTGTCCTGTCTAGCTAGGGTAGCTAAGAGAGTCTCTTTCCTGGCCAGGTGATGCCCAACCTAGGATCCATCCCTGTTTCTAGCCCTTTACTCTCCCTAGAATGAGCTCTTCTACTCTGCCTCTGCCGACTTTCTCCAGACAAACAGCCACAGAACTCTATCTGATGCTGACCAACAGACCTCTCCTTTGACCTAGGGACCCCTCCCCTTATTCTTTTGTGATACATCTTCCTGTTATGAACCCATGACCCACAATATTCAATCTGGTCCTAGGGACCACCTCTTACTTAAATGAGTCTTGCTAAAACTAGTAGGACCTTCCTTGGTATTGAATAAGCATGACCCAGGCCTCCACAGAGGTGTAAGTATACAGTGCTTCAGGTGCCATGCTCTCTTTTTCTTCCCTTTGTATCTCCTCCTCTCAAGATGGAGAGGCTACCCCCGCTTTTTCCATCCTTTACACCCGCATTTCAATGGTAACCTCCCCTCTCTCCCCATCATTCTCCCCAGACTGGCTCGGCCATTTCTATGACGTTCATGGATGTTTCTAAGCTAAACATTCCCAGGTCCATACCTCCAGCCAAGCTCCTTCTGACCTCTAGAGTGGAAGACCCTGCATGTATGACAGCCCCAACATGTGCCAAGCCCTATGGCAGTGCTTTCATCCCCTGCAACAGTTTGTCATCTCTCATTTGATAACAAATCATCTCAAAATGTAGGGTGCTGTGGGACAGTGGTCTTGTACCCTGTCACTTGTATTGTATTGCTTTAATAAAACGCTGATTGGCGTAGCCAGGCAGGAAGTATAGGCAGAGTGACCAAGCAGGAAATAGAGGATGGGTGACGAGAACAGGAGAATTCTGGGAAGAGGAAAGGTTGAGTCTGCAGTCGTCACCCAGACCAAGAGGAAGCAAGATGAAAATGCCTCGCTGGTAAAAGGTACCAAGCTACATGGCGAACACAGGCAAGAGTTATGGCTTAAGATGTAAAATATGAGTTAATTAGAAGCCTGAGCTAATAGGCCAACCAGTTTATAATTAATGTAGACCTCTGTGTGTTTCTTTGGGACTGAATGGCTGCGGGACCAGGCGGGACAGAAAGCTCTGTTAACAATAGGGGTTGACAGCAACTAT